TATATATATATAAAGAATTTTTAAAATTCAATTGTGACATTGAAATCAGCTAAAAAATTGAACAAACGTCACCCAGGAAATCTTTTAAAACACGCACATTTTGCATAAAATAGTACAATATGCTTATTATTTTACTTTGTAAAGTCCCCGTTGAGCGGACCTTTAAGTACTTATAGATCTTTAAGAAAAAAATTAGAAGACTCTTAAATACAATTTTTTGAATTAAGAAATATTTAGTGATTTTAAGAATCTTTAATCTAGTATTATGACATCAAAAGAATACAACTAAATAAAAAATTTTATAACTATAAAGGAATCTTTATTTGAAAATTTTGTCTATTTTTGAATTTGTGCCTTAAGGTACATTTATTATCCATTTAAAATAACGCTGTTTGAAAATATATTTACGAAACACATTAAGCCTAACTCTAAAAAGAAGATTTATTTTTTCACAGACAAATTATTTCATACTATTTTTACCAAACAATAACAAAGTATAATCTATTTTGTTTAATGAAACTTTATTTACATTTAATGCAGTATAGAAACTTTTCATTGAATGTATGTATATATATATATAAAATTTTCCATGGGCGAGGTTACACATTACTACTGCACCACAAAAAGAGAACATTCTAAAAATAGAAAACGTTAAAGGGAAAAAAAAGGAGCGAGGACAGAAAAGAGAATGTCCCTAGCGTGATGGTCCCTTGCCATGAATGTCCCTAGCGTGCCAGTAATGGTCAAACAAGGAGGTGTCAGTTGTTGTTTGGCAATGAAGGTGGTTTGCGTCCAGTAAAGTAAATGTAAATCGCAAATTTGTTTGTAAGAAATAAAGATTATTTGGGAAAGTGATATCAAATCTGATATCAAAAAGTGATCTGGATTGGGAAGTGAGTGAGTGTTTCAGGCAAAAACTTTACAAGTAACGTTACACAAGTATTAAGTTATATCAGATAATTTTAAATATGTTATGCGTTAATCTTAACTTAATAAATTGAATATAATATATTGAATAATATAAGCAGTATATAAGTATCCAGTAACTAATTAACCAATCAATTAGTAAATATTATGTACATTATGCAATTGACATGTATGTAAATATCCAGCAACTAATATGCAGTATGAACATACAGAAATATGTTATTGAAAAATACATACTGGAACACATTGAGACAGTTTGTCTGCGGCAACCATTTGTACATTAAGATTCCTGCTTTGGGATTTTCCTCTTGATTTTATCAACCTTTGTAACACCTAGATAAGAAAAGACCACTTCGTTATTGGATTTACAAATGAGTTATTACTTGATATCTAAATCTGAATTTTGCGATAGTACTTAATGTCATTAATTTATAAACAAATCCAATACCAAATTAGCTTACAAAAAACCTCACTTTGTAGATGTACGGAATTCTATAGGTAACGATGTGAAACGTTAACTTTCAGACAAATAGGCATCTTACCTTTTAGAGAAGATACTTTCACTACTTAAGTTTTTCCATAAATAAATAAAAAGATCAATGAATTTCATAAAAGTACGATAAATAAGTAGATGATAGTAGTAAGTAAGGTAACCTTAATAACTTGTAACACTCTTTTTGTAAAGAGTGTTACAAGTTATACGTCTCAAGTTCAGTGATTTCCATACTCCAATGCCCTAGTTTGATCAAGTATCTACCTTGAAACACTTATTCTACTTATAAACAGTATTACCTTTAGATAAATAAGCACTATCTTGAAGAGAAAATTTAATAATGCTTCAAAATATAAGTGAATAAGAAAGAAAGTACCTTTGGGGAAGATATTTTGACGTAAACAACTATGGGTGCGAGGGATGTCTTCAGTAGTTGAGAAGGGTGATTAATGGTATCGCAGTCTAGAACAACTAATTGAAGAGTTCGCGCAAGCTCAAATATCCTCTCGATTTCCGCTGTCACTTCAGCTGAAAACACAATTTATTTTTTAGATTTATTTTATCAAGAAGAAAGAAAAAAAAACGAAAACACTGATTATTGATGTGAAATAAAATTCTTGTCATGTCTAAATTTTGATTGGCCATGATGGTTCAGGTAACACTGAAGGCTACGCGCAACTGGCAAAGAGTATCTCATAATGGTATTCAGTAAATGTGTAGTTGTAGGAATTTATACCCACGATAATTTTTTACTCCATAATTTTGCTTCAGTGCAATACACACTACTATCAAGGTAAAGAGCGTTCTGTTATGACTTTCTGTAAATGAGTATTTGTTGGAATTTGAATCTGTGATAATTATTTGCTCCATAATTTTGCTCGAGCACAATACACACTACTGTCAAGGTAAAGGTGTTTCTTAATCGCGTTCTTTAAATGAGTATTTGCAGAAATTTAAACCTGCGATAATGTATAACTCCGTAATTTTGCTCGAGTTTAATACACACGATTGTCAAGATAAAGGTGTTCTGCAAATGAGTGTTTGTAGGAATTAAAACCTGCGATTATTTTTAGCTCCATAATTTTATTAGAGTTCATTAAGTGGGCCAATTTTCTCTGTAGCCTCTTAAAAGACTTATTTACTGAAAAACAATTTTAGTGATTATTTATTATTTAATTTATTAAAAAGCGAAAATAATCAGTCGTAAGAGATTAAAATGTAATTTCAAATTTCAAAAAAATACGTAATTTTAAAGGACTAAATTTAGTTTTGAACGAAATATAGATAGTTTTATTAGATTTATACTTGAAAAAGATTATGAGTAAAGAACGATGAATTTATAGAGCAGCAGTTTTAGAAGTTTCAATCATTTTAAAAACAGATGAATAAATAAGCATTTGTGAGGGTGAGGTAAAAAAAATAATAACTTACCTAAACATGATGACCGACTGTTTGCTCTTTCCATGATTGCTCTTTTACTTGGATTGTTCAAAAGCGATCTTTTAGCCAATGATATGTCAGCCGTAACTCTCGTGATAATGATCCTAAAGGATAAAAATTACTGTATTGAACACTGAAACAAGAAAAGAACCACACAAGCCAATCTACCAATCTAGTACAAACTGATAGGATGGAAAATAATCCGTGAATTTGTTAATATTAATAAAGTTACAGAGTGTTTCAATTCACCATAATAATCCCAAATACAGAGATTTCCAAAAACATATTCAAGGTTAACGTTCACGAAATTCAAAATAGCTCAAATTTAAGTCGTATATCAACTAAATTGTATATATTAGTAAAATTATCCGTCATTTTACTATTGAATAAAAGAAATAACACTTAAATAAAGGTCCTGTTCCGAGAGTTTGAAATTATTAATTTTTGAAACTGATAATTATAATTATGTCAAAACAAAATTCATAATTTCTTTGAAAGTTTGGTTAACTTTTATGAAATTATTTAATCAAAATGCCATCAGAAGCGAAAATGGCAAAATTTATATTAAAAAAAAAAAAAAACACCATTGCTTCTCGTCAACTTTTTAATTCAAAATAAAATGACCAAATTCTAGAATAACGAATTATGTTTCTCTGATAACTATTCTCAACTTTTATAAGAGTTTTTTCTCGAAAATTATAAGTCAGCTTATTTTGTTCATTTTCAGCTAATCTTTACACTAAAAAAATTCTGAACTAGAATAGATACCACTCCAGGCCTGCGAATTGAACTGTTTGACCTGAAACTTATTATTTTAAGAGTTTTATTGATTAAATGATTATTGAAAAAAATTTGATTATTGACATTAAATATTATCAAAATAATTATGGTAGTCCTTCCTTGATCAATATGCTCACAGTTGCTAAAAAAATTTTATTAATATGTTTGGAGTTCCACCAAAAGATGCTCGATCATTTAGGGGACCATAGTAAAAAATTGGTAACTGCTAACATATAGTACATATACAGTGTGCATAGCAAATTTTTCCACAAAAAATAAGCACCTTTTATATGCTTTTTAAGCACTCAAAAATATTTTTAAGCACTTTAAAAAAAGATCACAATTAGGATATGGACACTAATAATTTTTTTCCCTTCATGCTGTTGAAAGTTCGTCACATAGAAGTGAACAAAATGCAAAATAATTTTCATGTAATTAATTTAACTATTATTTAAAAAGGTTATCAAGTGTATTTTTCAAATTTAAATAAATGTTATTCAAAACACATAAACAAGATCACTACTATTGATCATATCAAATTTATAAAGATATGCAAAGAATTAAGCTAACTAAGAAAACTTGAATAAATTCATATTACAACTGTAGTGAATGGCCTCAAATAGTTCATTAAAAATTGTTACTTGGTTCAGTATTTCTTTAATGAAATGCTTAAAAAAATGAAATAACTTTGATATGTAAATATAATGAGTATTGAAGCGAAGTATTTTTGTTGGAAGTAAATTATTAATCAATCCCTACACTTATAATATTTAACAAATCTGAGGTAATTGTTTTATTTCAATTGTTTTTAAATGAAATCATTAAAAGATGAAATAAAGATTTTTGGAATAACAAACCTGAACATAAGATTTTTTGCTCATTTAAAATAGCGAAAGTCCCTCACTTGATACATTTTTTAAAATCTTACCTATAAATATTATATAGTAATAAAATAATAACCTTAAAGTACTATAGTAACTTAAAATAACTTGAAAGTACTGAAAATTTTAAAAGTAATAATTAGTATGATAAAAATAAATAAATAAAAAAAGCAACAAGTAGAAAAAGTAATAAAGTACAATAGAAGTTCATAAAAATTTTATGCAATTAGTGTTCAGTCCCTTAAGTAAACAACGTTACTAATTAAAATCTCAATTAATTTTTATCTTTATTAATTTAAATGAATGAAAGGGAGATGGAAATTTTGAGATCAAACTTAGTGATTCTTACTACTCTGGGGACCCATATGAATGAACTTAACAATGAGAAAATTTTCTTTTGCTTTTAAGGAAAAAAATTTATTAACTGTAATTTTAATTGGTCCCCGTGATTAGCTGAAATTCAAGAGATTTTTCAGTTCGATTTCAGAGGGGAGAAAAGGAAGCCAGAAATTGAGGATCTCTTGCAAAATGCAGTAGAGTTGCTCATGAGAATACAAGAATCCTTCCCACCGAATCTAGTTCAGTGCACGCACAGGCGGACTCGCAAGTATTTTATCAAACATTTAAAATGATTGGCGCTTTCATACGCTACGGAAAGATGGTATGCCGAAATGGATTGAGCTTGAATGAATTGTGAAAACGTTAAGTAGAACAATGTGAAAACCACGCTTTTTGCGTAATTCGTGGCAAAAATTGATAAGGTAAAGAAAAAATCTCGTTTTGGAAAAGGGAAAATTAAGTACTTTTTGAAAACACCCAATGAAAAAAAGCACCTTTAAAGGCTTTTAAAAACGAAAATAAGCACCTTTAAGTACTTTTTTGAAAACGCTACGCAGCCTGCTATATGATATAGTCTGCATTTCTTTTATTTTATTTTTAAATCTCAACAATTAAATAAAATTCATTTTGAAAATTACAAATTCTGAAAATTATGAAAATGTTCGTTTACTTACCGTCCCTCAAAGCGATGTTTGAGATAATCGAAGAGAGCTTTTTGCATCATATCTGTGACCTCATAGCCTTTCAGAGAAGGTCCCACTAGGACTACGGGTCGCATTGAAGGCACTACGTCATAAGGGGGAATGTTCTCAGACTGAAAAGATATTATAAAATTTATCAGAATATTCATTATTTAGTTTATGCAAGAGCAGGCAGGGTGAACTTCGCGCTTAGCATGATAAAGCTGAAAAAGCACAAATTTTGGCACAAATAATGCCACTTAAACATACCATTTGTTTTCCTCTTACATTATTGCTGGTGGTTCTTACGTAGAGAACCGAAATTATTTCCCGTTTATTTATGTAGCCTTAATTTGTACTTTTTTCACGTTGATTATCGTTAGTCATATTTATTGATTGCAAGTGGAAAACTATTTTGCCATTTTAAATAAGCTGTTTTTATTTATTTTTTGATTATTGATTACTAAGTATGTAAAACTGAGTTTGTGTTTTCATGCCACAGAGAAAGCTTGCGTTGTTAATTGGTTTTCGAATAAAAATATTAAATACATATAAACCACCGACTTTTCATCTGCTTTCTTAAAAATTTTGCGAGAAATTTTTGACATATTTTTTTAAAATTTACTTTTCTCGTAAGTACAAATTGTGTTTTTTCCATTTTGTACCCAAATGCTCAATAAAACGCATTTTTTCTGCCAAACAAATGTCATTTTTATCTTCATATGGCCTATTACGTCTGTCGATAATGTATCAATCATTCAAACAATTCTCCATGTGCAATGATCAACCCACAACCTAAATATCCTTTAATTGTTTTGAGCAGTTTATTTTTATATATAAGTGACGTCAAAGAAAAGTATGCAACTTACTGATCATCCTGTACATCATTTAAAAAAACAGGTATATAAAAAGTTTAGTTGTAATAGCATTCCTTCTTTATGACAAAAAGTTTCTGAAGAAAGTGTAATATGAGCGTAGGTCAGACAGACATGATTATCGATTATTAGACATGATTATCGATTTTTCCAATTATAGCTACAAATTTAATTTAAAACAAATCACGCAGAATAATTGAAGCATGGATCACATATATTGGAATCATTAATTATACTCGGGAACTTTTTTTTCCTTTCCTGTTGCGTGAGATTTTTTAAAGAATTTTGGATATTTTCACATTGCTGATTTCAAACTTGCAATTAGTTTATCTTCTCTCTTTCTCTCTAAATTTGTTCTTTAAATGACATTTTTAGTTCATTTTTCTCGAAATGTTTAAGAGCATTAAGTGTAACAAGGAGTTCTGTAAATAATGCGGCAACTTCTAGGAGAATTGGGTTACATTAGAATTAAAATGGCGTAAGAAACCATAGCTGGAAATGTCATCATTCGTATTAGGGGCGATTCCTCTACTATAACCTGTTTCTCCATGCACTTCTAAACAGGTCATAAAAAGGAAAGCGCCCCTAGCCACGTATGACGACATTTTCGTGTACGGTTTCCTATGCAATTTCAATCCTGATGATGGGCCACAATTCCCTTAAAAATTAGTCACAATATTTACTCGACCCCCTTTTTCTATATAACGCTTCTAGAATTGTACATTTCGACAAAAATATAATAAAAATGTCATTCTGTAAATCAGCATTAGGATGATTCAATATCTGCTTTAGGAACAAAACTAATTTTAGATTTGAAATTCCGGCACAAAAATTAGGTAAGATCAAGTATATTTGTAAAAAGCCGACCAGCCTGTGTAGGGGTCAGGGCTTTGCATCAGAAAGATTCTGGGTTCGAATCCCGGGCAAGGCATGGATATTTTTTCATTCTCTGTACTACTTGTCCTCACTGTGGGAGCAACGTTGACCCACTTAATATGGCGCTCCTGAAAGAGTGGCCAACAAATCTGCCTTTATGCGCCTGAATTGACGAATGTCAACCCAGATTGGCATTGCAAAAAAAAAGTATTTGCAAAAATTCACCAATTTTTTTTCCTCAGTGTTGTAATAATTTTTGAAAAACAAAGTGAAATCTAAATAATTTTCACATTTTTGTATAGTTGCAGAAATTACATAAACATATTAATTGTTCAAATGCGTATTTTTACGTGACTTTCATAAGAGTTAAAAAGAACTATAAAAGTGGCATTAAATCGCACTTTTTATCTCTCGTATTGAGATGAAAATGTGCATAGGATTCCGATAAAATTTTCTAACTATTTTTTTTTTAATTAATACAATTTAAAGCATAATTTTCTCTTTTTCTTGACCATTTTAATTCGAAAGAATTGGATTTCCAAGATATTAGATAGAGTGATTTCGCAAATTCACGTTATATTCCATACTCTCCCGTACGTAAGATTTGAAACTGCGCATGTTTGGGTTTTATTTTATTATTTGTTTAGATCCTATGTATTTTTACGTTTTGTTGTTGTTTTGAAAACCTACAAGTACGTTGTTTATAACTTTTAATCATTGTTTTCCGTTTAACCTTTCCTTCAAATTAACAACGTGGACGTGTTACAGATAGATGAAGGGCACCAACGCAAAATGAAGAGGGAGGATTCATTATAACAAGATGTTAAAATGAATCATGCGACAATTGGTTTATTTAATTAAAAATATTATTTTATTGGTTTTAGTTTAAATTATGGTTGTCAAATTATAATAAGACCATAAGAAATTAAATATTTTTCCGTAATTTAAAAATAATAGAATGTATTCCCTTTAATTATATAAATTAGTAGGAAAAAGTTTAACTTTCATTATATGCACGTTTATTCTAAATATTCGTTACCGGTTTTTGCAAAACCTTTTATTTTTATTCACATAAATTTCATATCTTTTCACAGGGCGTATTTAACCAGAATTGGTGGCTGCGCACTTGAAATGCGTGTGCTAAATTACTTCAAATCTTACGAACGGAATGTAAGGTAAAGGTGCGAAATCTCTCTGAAAATCAATCTGAAAAGTGTGAACGGAATGTAAGGTAAAAGTGCGAAATCTCTCTGAAAATCAAACTGAAAAGTGTGAACGGAATGTAAGGTAAATTGCTATTAAAAAATGAGTTAGACTGTGAATGGACATACTTTTTTGAAGAAGGGTTTCTTCTTCTCTTTCGCTGGCGGCGTAGTCACAGTCTTTCCGAGCTTACTATTGCCCAGACTGTCACTGTCGTCGCCAGCACCCGTTTCTACACCATTCTGGTCCACATCGAAACCTAGGGGATTATTAATTTTGAATTAGCTCACTATTTCTATCAATAAAAACATATTTCTCAGTTAAGAATCATATCTTATCAATAAAGAGAATAAAATTTACCTGGAGTAGGTGGAGTTGAACCTCTAGATGTTGATTTTGTGTTAGTAAGGTCATTTGTTAGACCTCCGAGATTTGAAGAGGAACTAGTTTTACTGTTAAAAGAGAAAAAAAATTTAAAAATATTCTGAAAACAAATATTAAAAGTATCAATTCAAAAAATAACCAGTAATGCTCAGTTTTAAATGTGCCGAAATGTTTCTTTCTCAATAATTTTATTTGATATAAATGTGACCAATTTGATAAATTATACAAAATTTTGTTTTGAGGAACGTTTAAATAAGTTAAATTTTAGCATTGAAGTTGTAGAAACAGTATCTTAAATCAGAATTATAAAACCTAAATGCTCATAATAATACTCTTAAAACACAAAATTAAAATAATTAAGTGCATTATCATTTTTATACAATGAGCCTTTTTTTTTGTAATTCCATCATCTGAGCAATAAGATACTCACTATTATTATCATTTTCAGAAATAGTTTTTCTTTAACATTTTAAGAGAAATAAAACTTCATAAAATAAATAATTTTATATAGAATAATAAAAATATAATTAAATAATACAATCTAAAAAAAAATCTAATTAAGAAATCTATAATCTAAAAATGAAAGTATATCTGATCTTTGAAAATTTAATTATTTCTTACAATGAGAATTTTTTGTTTGTAATTCTATATTCTAAGAAATAAGGATATACTCATCAACATATTTAAAGGGGGACCCAAAAATCTATAAAAAGTACCTGGTATATAACTTCCTACTACTTGTTTGTGTTTGCTGTAAACGTAGATTTTCTAATTTAACAGGACTAGGTATAAATCCGACATCACAGCCTTCTTTTACTAGGCGACCAATCCACCAGTCGTTGTTGTATTTCTACAGGAGATTATTTATTGTTAATATGATTTACTTAAAATTATGAAAAAAGCAAGTTTATAAAATAACATATAGAACTGGTTAAAAAATATTTTTAAATATTATAAAATGGTGGTTTCAGAGAGGTTAGGCATTTGTCAATAATATTCAGTTTATATCGCTTTGAGTTTCATACAAAAACCCTATTTTTTACTTTGTTGAATATGTCAAATTTTGTGGTAACGAAGCAGCATTTGCGGGAGGTTTTATGTTTCTGCTTTAATTGCAAGAAAAGTGCATTTGAAGAGCATCGAATGCTTGTAGAAGTTCATGGCAACAATGCTCCAACTGATAAATCATGTAGGGAATGGTTTCGAATTTTCAAGAATGGTGAAAGAAGAAAGGTGAATGGTGTTGTATACTATGAGCTGCTACAACCTGGCGATTCCATTACGGGCGATTGGTATAGGCAACAATTGATTCGTTTGAGCCGTGCATTACGTGAAAAACGGCCCGAATACGAACAAAGACATGACAAAGTTATTCTCCTGCATGATAACGGTCGGCCTCATATCGCAAAAGTCGTAAAAAATTATTTGGAAACGGTCAAGTGGGATATTTTACCCACACCGTCGTATTCACCGGACATTGCTCCTTCTGTAAACCTCATTTATCATTTTTATCACAAAATTATTTTATTTATTACATATTTATATACTTTTAGTGAATTCTATAATTTAATAACAACAAATGTCATACTTTTTACTTTGATTGCATTATATGCTTCTGTAGACTGATTCGTTCGCAAATAAGTGAAAATAAATAAGAATGCGAATAGCTTATCATAATATTTATGATTTCTTGATATTAAATTTAATTTGGATATATCAATTACATTTTAAAAATATTTAATTTGCATTTTTAAATATGTAAATTTATGTTTCATATAATATTTAAACATATATTTGTTGTTAAAAATGCATATAACATTCAAATTTGAAGCAATAAAATAATAATCTTTACAACCATACATTTATCGACGAAATAAAATTGGGCGGTGATACACGACATTCATGTGAGCGGGGCTACCCGAAATGCAATTTTTTTGTAAATTTGTAATTACTCGAACAATTTTTCACATATAAACATAGTTCTTTGTGCAAATTAAACTTATGTCTACACACTTTTATGCTGCATGTATAGAAAAAATTATTTTTTTAGTATTAAAATGAAGTTTAATCGAAACATTCAACTAATTTTTCTTAATTTCATGACTACTGTATTCAACATATTTTCAAAACTATTGTTTACCATGTTACCAGCTGCATAAATACTTGAAACTTGAAAATAATCTTTTTTTAATATGACAATTAATGTCCGATGACCCATTGGCTTGAAAAAATATTCTATACATATGAAATTGACAGTGGGCGGGGGTACCCGACACTCCCCTATAAGATTTATAAGTAGATATTTAGATTACTCAGTAGTAGAAAATTAGAAATGTTTAATTTGTGGCTTCACAAAAGGTTGTCGGAAAAAAAGTTGTTTTTAGTTACAATGCGCTTTTAGTGCTGAAGAGTTTTCTATTGCATTAAAAATAAAAACGGAATGTTAAACTTTGAAATCGTTTAAAATCTTTCCTTCACGCATCGTTCTTAAAGTTAATGAAAACTTGAAAAAAAATCAAACAGTACTTTATGCTATATTCTTATACCAGATGAAACATGAAAATTAGCAGTGCAATGTGTAATGTAATTTTCAATACATAAAATAAGTACTATTTAAAACTATTTTCCAGTCCTCAACTAAGAACTAAATTGTTCGTATGGGTAAAAATTAACAATTTTCATTTTTATTGTTTAATTTTTATTTATGGTAAATGCTTGAATAATTCGACAAAATTTAATTTAAGACTACAAATTCAAGTCTTAAAAAGTTTAATTAAGTAAAGATTTGATTTCTTCGTACATTTTCGGAGAAATTTCATGCGGTTTATGAATTTGTTCTTTTTTATGAAGAGTCCTTGTTTCAAAAACTTCGCCACCGATTTTAAATTTTTTTAGATTATTGTTCGAAACATTTTTACTAGTAATAGTTTTTTAAACTTTTGATTTTTATTTATACTCGTAAATAATTTTTTGAGACAAAATTCAATTTTAAATTTCGATTTAAAATATAAAATTTAAATCATCTATAAAGGAATTTAGAAAAGCACAAAGAAAACAAGTTAGAAATATTAATTCAAATTATTAGTTTTTTCAGAAAAACAACCGCAATAGTTTTTGCTTTAAAATAGATTACCGGCATAGAAAGTCTGTTATTCTTAAAAGGTTTAAATATTTAAAAAAAAATTAAAAATATTTCATTCATTATAGATATGTTTTAAATTAAAAGAAAACAAACAATTTTAATTGTCAAGTTAATCCACTTTTAACTGATCACCACCACTGTCATTTGGCAAAATTTTACTGTAATTTTAGTTTTTAGAGAAATTTTGATTGTAATAATTTTATTTTTATCTCCGTATACCCCCCTGGGGTGGGTCGGAGTTCAACCTATCTTATTAAAAGAAAACAATCACATATTTCTTATACCTCTTTTATGTGAAGATAGTCTTTAATGCCGAATGAAATGGCACAACCGTGAACTGGTGAATCGTCGTCTAAACCACCGTCATAAGCGACGTTGGTCCGAACAGCAAAAGCCACCGGCTTCGTCTGAAATACAGAAAAAAATATTTCAAATTAAAATTTGAAAATGAAATTACAATGTGTATAAATGCAAAAAAAAATACATTTATGTTTGATTACAAACAGTCGTTATTTGTTAGATTAGGCTGCAAAATATTTTAGGCTAGAAAAATCTTTTTACGTTACTTATTTTTCCTTTTTATAAGAAACAGATTTCATTAGAATAAAGAAATATCACTATAATTGAAAAAAAATTTAATTATAAAAGTTTCTTGTACGGTAAAAAAATAAATAAAAAATTGCACCAAGTTAGAGTTTTAAAATTATATATTATTAGAAATACATATTACATTAATTATTGTAGTTTATTCACTGATCAAAACAATTAGAGGATATTGAGATTGTGTATTGATGTTACACCTGGAGATTTTTTTGAATGATAGATACATTATCAACAGACGTGTAGGCTATATGCGATAAAAATGATATTTGTTTTGCAGAAAAAAAAGCGTTTTATTGAGCATTTGGGTACAAAAGGAAAAAAACAAAATTTGTGTATGACAAAAAAAATTACAAAAAGGCGTTTCCTTAAAGGAAAATCGTTTTTAGAAGGGGGTACGATTTCCCCGGGTGGCCAGCAACGTTGAACACCTTTGACACATCGAGTCAGTGAGGTTACTAATGAGAGACAGGGGTATTCTGTCTCACTCCTCTAGAAGAGCTCTTTCCAGTTCTTAAAGAGTTTGAGGGTGTGGTTAGTATCCAGAAATTAGTTTGCCTAGAATGTTTCAAACATACTCGATTGGGTCCATGTCCGGAGAACACGCTGGCCAATCCATTCGTATGATTCCCTCCTCCAAAAGGAAATCATTCACCAAGTAAGCACGATGTGGCCTCCTCGTGTAATTTTTTTCATATCTCCTAACAAGCAAGAGACTTACGTTTTTTTTTGTTTTGTTTTTCTAGAAAAATACGGAAATCGTGATTTCAAGTTGTCCCTCATTCTACTTTTCAGTTTTCATGGGATTTAGTTTTTTGCACCGTCAGTTATGTTTGGTGAAATATTTTCGATTTTGGCTTTCGTGTCTTTAAACTCTGCATTTTATACCACCCATGCAATTCTTCTGAAGCTAGCTAGAGTGTTGCTAAAGAAATGATTTATTATTACAGTGTTTTTTTGTGTCGTTAAACCGCCGACTCAATATTGGGTTTACGACTCCTAATGTTCAACTCCGTAGCCGTGTAATTTTGAACCAATCTAGAAGACAAGGAAATTCCTGGATCAGCACCCCTAGAGGTATTGATTTGTTTTGGAAACATGGAGTACTTAATGACTCCACAGATTTAACGTGCATCAGTCACCATTTACTACACGGGGAGTCTTCGGCCAGCGGGAATCGCACCCACGAACTCTTGGACATGGGCCTAGTGCCCTACCAACCAGGCTATCCCGGCCCCTATTACAGTGGTTTAAAAAAATTTAAACTAAACAATTGGTTTCAATAATTGGCTAATGCACAATTTTAATCTATGACAATAACTGACATGTTGATAGTTATTCGAACAGGAAGAAGCCCCACAAATATCTTGAGTTTGTAGCCTACTGGAAAACTGTTAATCACAACCATTTTATTTTAGAGCATTATTTTAATTTATATGGACGAATTCAAGCATTTTGTCCCAATGAATGAGCCGAAAAAATTTAAGCAAAAAATGATCTAATATCAATCATACCGAGAAAAATTGTTCAAACAATTCTAATCGTATTAACAAATCAGGCCTCTAAAAACTAAGAGAGCAATCACACAGCAAGTGATTGCTTTAGACACGCATGCGAAAAATTTAGAAACTACATATAAGAATTACTCACGCATGCGCAATTCGCTTTGATGCAAATCGCATGCAGTAGGAATGCTCCATTAGGGGTGAAAATTTACCTTCACGTCTAAATTCATAAGTGTAAATGAGATCTAGTTTGCCCGCGACGCGTCATACACAGACACTGAAACAAATTCTTGAATTATATTTAAAATACTTTTTTCTTGGAATATTCTTAACAGCACAGAGCTTCTCGCTTCTATATTGCCTCCAGCAGTGTAATACATATGCATTCTAACAAAACCTATTTTTAAAATCTATTTGTTTAAAAATTTCTCCAGTGTAATTTTGAAATTTAGGTTGCGTTTTCAAAACAGGATAATGAATATTCAACTTCTTAAAATCTTTGAAATTCATAATACTAACTTTACTTCCAAATCGCATTTAAACTTATGACACTTAATATTATTCAAATCGATGTAAACCAAACGTCTTTCATCGTAATCAAAAGAACAGTTACAGCAAATGTAATTTGATTTAGATTTGAATAATCATTTTCTTTTATTCAAATGACGAATATTGGAACCTCCGTTTTCTCCTTTCGTTTCATTCCCAAGATGTTCAGATATAATAAAATAAATTTAAGAACATACCTTGTTGGGACCAAATTAGCATTTCAATTTATTTTTAATCTTATATTCTACTGTTTTATGATTTCATGTACCGCAATGTACACATAATTAATCAATTCCAAGCTTTAAAAAAATACTGAGCTTTTTTTTTGGTTATCTTTAGATCTGTAGTTTCGATTTTGCAAAGCATTAGAATGTCCAAACGTTTAAATTTTTGTCTATCAAAGTTAAAAATTCAATTAATACTGCTAAGAGAAGAACTTTTGTAATGTCCATTATTTTCGATTTTTTATGCTGCAATTTACAAAGCTTTTACTTAAGCTTTACGATATTGACATAATATTTTGTTTTGTGTAACACAATCCATAATATATATATTTTGTTAAATGTAACATAATCTATGACCCATAATTACCTATGAGACAAGAGTGTGCAAAAGAATTTTTCTTTCACTGCGTTTTAGGATTTAATCTTTGTTTGGTGGTGTACGCATACAGCATGTTTAGTAATCCCCACTCTTAAAATATAGTTTTAGTCAAGAGAGAAAAGAAAATCGAATGGACTCTGAGGATAGTGAAATAATATTCAAACGAGGAAAATAAAAGAAAAATATATTTAAAAATGGCAAAACATGAAAGATGGTAAAATACGATGAGAGCGAGATTAAAAACATGAAACCATATGCGAATATGCTATTTGCAATTGCTGTGAGTTTTCTGCAGTTTCTCATGACTTTTAGGACAAGTTAAGCCTATCTAAAGCCAGAGCAGTCTATGCTTATGCTGAGAATGACGCAAAACGTCAATATTGGAGAAAGTCACAGTTTTGTAAAGATGAAAAGCTTCGGTGGTCCAATTCTTTTCGAATTTTGTACCCGGGTAGCATCGACGACAGTGCTGACGTGAAATATCCTCAGTGTTAGACGAATCATGCTTCGCCGTCAAGCTAACCGTGGGAGGTTTTCCTTTTCATGTAACGCCAATGCGGGTTGTTGTTGTTGTAGTTCATTTGCGTCCCACTAGAGCTGCTCAATGGGCTATTGGCGACGGTCTGGGAAACATCCCTGAGGATGATCCGAAAACATGCCATCCCAATTTTGATCCTCTGTGGAGGGGATGGAACTCCCGCTTCGGTAGCCCAACGACCTGCACGTGAAGTCGAGCACTTTACGGTAGCACAGCTTAACGAGGACTAATACCGCACACCCTCGGTCCCTACGCAGACTGATCCAAGTGGGTCAACCACCCGCACACTGACCGCAGCCACTGATGCTTGACTTCGGTGATCTGCTCAGAACCGTGTCTTAACGATCAGTCCACTGCGGGACGCCAATGCGGGTTAGTTTCATTGAAAAGTCCTCCAAATTTCTCCCTATACTTAATCCAGGAATTCTCTTGTCTTTTAGATTGAGTTCAAAATTACAGGGATACGGAGTTGAGCATTAGTGGCCACGAACTCACTATTGAGTCGACTGTCCAACGACGGTTTTAAAATGAAATACTTAAACGTTTACCCCATTGCTACATTATCTGCGCTCTTAAAATTTTACAAAATATGAGAATACAGAAGTGAATTTGATAATTTTCATTTAAGCAGAAAAACGTCGCCAAATTGGCGATTTTTAAAAAATTAAATAACTGTTGTTTCTAATGTCATTTGCCACACGGGCAAGCCTGCTTGGGGAAACCAATCAAATTTAAAGCACAGTGTGCGTTTCTTGTTTTTTCAGTGGAGCCAACCTATAGCCAAGAATTCGTCTTCAGCCACACACACGTCACAGCCAGTTTTATAGGGTGGACCCATTCATACATCCATTCATTCATCCACAGATCGTAATTTTGACCTGAATCATATAACCCCCAGAGGTATTGATTTGTTATGGGAACATGGAGGACTTTGCGACTCGACAGATTTAACGTGCATCAGTCACCATTTACTACACAGGGAGTCTTTGGCCGGTGGGTTTCGAACTTACGAGCTCTCGGACATGGGCCCAACGCCCTACCGATCAGGCTAACCCTGCCCTTAATAACTTTTAAAATGTTTAAGTAATTTTTCCGTTCTAAAGCTAAGATGATTCCTCACGGCAAGACGATATATATAGTTAAAATAACCGCTTTGCCACAAGTGTATGGTACATAAACTAAGACTTTTTTTTATCCCTTGGCGACAGAGTTTCGAAAAACCTTATTAAGGGGGGGGGGGGGTATTGCGAGAAACTTCAGGCTAAATGGGAATGTGAAAGGTATACCCTGGCCTTTTCCAGTTGAGCCAGTGCTTGCCGTTCCGTCTCCCTGCGTAGCGCCTCTCGTTCTTCATCCAGAGAGAGATCTGAAGAAGGCTGGCTATAATTCGAGTCCGCCGACCCCTACAATATAATAAATACATCGATAAAAAATACATCGATAAAAAATACACAGATAATAAATACACAAATAAATGTATAGATAACAAAAACATAAATACAGTAAAATAAATACAATCAATACAAATGACTTTAAACCTTTAAAATTAATTTTCGAAACACTGCATCTGCGTGCGAGCTTTGCGAAAGATATTTTTTTAAAGGGTAGACCTTAAGTGATTAAAATGATCTAAATTGTTAAGTAAAAAAATCAGATGAATACTAATGATTTGACAGAGCAGTGATGGCGCAGGGGATAGACCGTTCGCCTTCCAATGAGGGCAACGGGTTCGAATCCTGGCGATGGAGAGTCGATACGAATTCCTCATCCGCCTTTCATCAACCACAGTGTTGACGTAAAATATCCTCAGTGATAGCCGCATCGTGGGTTAGAGTCTCCTTGCCGTCAGCCTTATAGTGGGAGGTTTTCGTGGTTTTCTTCTCCATGAAACGTAAAAGCCGGATAGTTTCATTAAAACGTCCTCAACAAGGACAAATTTCTCCCGTTACTTGATCCAGGAGTTCATTTGTCTTCTGGTTTAGGTTCAAAATTACAAGGCGATGGAGTTGGACATCAGTAGTCGTAAACCCAAAAATTGGGTCGACTGTTCTACGACGGTTATAAAATAAGGTATAAAATGATTTGACAGAAATTCTAATTATTAATAAACTTTAACTTTGATTTATATTTTGTGTTGCTCCTAAGCAATAGAACTTATTGCGAGCGATGCATTGGCATTTTGATGTGAGGTAGCAACCGCTCATTTGTTCACTATTTTTTACGTCATAATTTTCTTGTAATTTAATAAGACAAAAAGCATTTAAGTTGCTTAAACAATTGACGTTTTAAGATAGTTTGAAAAATAGACATTTTGAGGTTGTTGAGACTAATTCAAAGCTCTTTTGTCAAAAGAAATGTCATTACACATACAGTTCGAGTATTTTAAACTAGAAGCTTTAATTCGAAAATACAAACTTACTGAAATTTATGAAATCGAATAAATGCTTTAAACATTTCTTCCAAAAATGTAACAATATTTTATAAATCAAAAACTTCTTAATTTTTTTTATAAGCCCACATAATGGCAGCGAAGAAATAATTTTTTCAAACATAAACAAATTAAATTGTATCTCAAATGCTTTTTATTAAAAAAAATTTTGCGTAGCATGAAAAGCGCTGCGAAAAATAAGGGGAGGAATTTTTTTAAAAACTGTTACAAATTCACAAAATGGCATGAGTGATATTTAGATGGAGAAACAGTTTTCGAAAACGGTGCTAATAAATAAAAGGTAAGTTTATTTAAATTCTTAAGTGATATCTTTTATGAAAAAGTAAAAACTCCCCCTCAAGTTTCACAGAGATAATAAACAAGGTGATAATAAAACAACTCCGCCAATATACGATTTCCTGGTGAGAATACTATTGGCGAGAACGGAATAAAATTTTATGTAAAGATGTTATAAGGTATTCACCCTAGAATAGTATAAAAAACGGTAACCAGTTCTTACGATCGCAGTTACAGTGACAAAATTTCGAAGTTTTCACAAGATAATTTCTTATTTTTCCCCTCCCGAAATGTGATTCTTACAGTAAAAAACTTCTAAGCCTGATGTGAGCGCTATTCTACATATCGCTTATTACATCTCAGTCTAGCGTCGCTATTATTCGGGTTAAATAGTTAACTCCAACTTTATTTTGGTTAGATTACATTTTTAATTTCACTATTGGGTTATTGCCAACTTGGTCATCAGAATAAGCGTTGCTGTTTCATTTATGGCAACTCCAAAATAAAGCTCCTAAATAATTCGATATTTTCCTTTTACTTCGCATATCAGATAACATGCATTTCTATTTTTATATAATTTATTTGTTTTGCTTTGATATGAAATGCATTTTATCCGGATTACAATTTGTTTATGTTTTACTTTTGGCGCAATTTTATTTGACTGGGCATTGCACGCAAACAAACACATTATTTGCCGCCAAAAAATTGCCAATTTTCGCAAAGGGCATCACTTAACTGTCTGATAACAAACCAATCGGCGAATTGCTTCGTTTCATCTCAGTCTAGCTGCGCTATTATTCGTGATATAAATTTGGCTCTAACTCCATTTTAGTGAGACTATATTGTGAAATATCCAGTGAGTTATTGAAAAGTTGGTCACCAGGATGAGCGACGGTGTTTTATTTATTTCAACCCGGAATGAAAACTTTTAAATAAGTCAATATTTTCTTTTTACTTCGCATCAGATGACACGCATTTCCATTTTTACGTTATTTCTTTGTTCCATTTTAATATAAAATGCATTTTATCCGGATTATAATTTGTTTACGTTTTTCTTTCATTGCCATTTTATTTTCTTGAGTATGGCACGTACAAAAGATGCCAATATCCACCAAGTATATCTATGTATATTTTACTTTCATTTTAAGCTTTTTTCTTATTTTTTACAGTGAGGATATTTTTTGATGCAAGGGTTACCATTTTAAAATTTCGAATATTTGTCATTATAAACATATCCATAAGAGCTGGATAATCTTCTTTTAAACACTATTCTTAAGCGCATGCCCTTAAGAAATTCGATTCCGTTTTCTAACTGCTTGCCTGGGCGTCGTATGTATGCAGTTATTTTGTAATCACCCTGTACATTTTTCCAATAATTCATGCATGCATTCCAGATATTATTGTAGTTATTATTCAAATGAAATACGCGGATGAAAAATATTTATTAGTTGAAATACAACTTTACTTATAGTTACTTAATTGTGACGTAATTACAGTATTTAATATTCAAATGAAATACGCGAATGAAAAATATTTATTTGTTGAAATACAACTTTACTTAAAATTACTTAATTCTAACGTAATTACGGTCATGTAACTTATTATATATCACTATTTTATTTTGATTTCACCCGTTGTTAAGCTAAATAAGGTTGATAAGAAAATACTCCTTATAATTAAATATTAGAAGAAAAGAATTACAAAGAATTAAAAAAAAAAAAACTAAAATCGACTTCAATAGGAGCTAAAAGATATGTTGGAATTATTACTTTTGATTATTTATATGATTACCAAAGCTTATATTAACGCTCTACATAATTATTACGGTATCTTTGTATTTCAACTTTCATTTTTTTTCTTTTCCTTTTCTTTAGCATATACTTATTGTTTGTCTCTTGTGTACCTATTATTTATTTTATTTGTCTCTTGTGTCGGAGAGCTAGGTCAAATTTCTTATGACTCCAGAATCATCTGAGCTAGGATTCTGAAATTTGGGCATCGACAACAAGGAGCAATTTTAGTCCCCAATCCTAAAATCATTTAAAAATTTAACTTAGATCGGTTAGGAAGGATGATTTAAAAATGAGTTTTTCGCATTAGTTTAAGATTATCCATTGTTATAAATAAAACTATCGATGATTCTGTTTAGGACTTTATTGCACAATCTTTATTGTTTAATTATTTTCTTCAAGCTCATTATAAACGTAGATAGCGTAGGTAAGTCATCGAATAAATAGTTCTAAAGTTATCAGAAACCATATGTTGAATTTATTTACAGTTCGCTTTTTAAAACGTGCTTTAATAAAAATGAAAAGTTTAAAATCAATGGTAATTAAAGTAAGGAAAAATAATATTATTTACTAAAAAGCAAATGCAAAGTTATTAAAAAAAGTAAAATTTTGGCCAAAAAATATTTCAAGTAAGAAAAGGTAAGGTAAAACCTATTTTTTTCAACTTTAAATTTTATACTAACACTAGACCATTTTATCCATACAAACGGCCATTTTTAATATTATAATGTAACAGAAGTGTAAATTTTTTCTTCTTTTTTGAAAGGAAATGTTATGTTGCTATTTTATTTTAACAATAAGTTTTATACAAATCTGAGAAAAAAATAATGTTTTATCTAAAATTTTCAGAAAGTTAGAAGTTTTTTTTTGTTTCAAATTAACAATTAAACAATTTCTTCAACCCATTTTCATTTTCATAAAATTGTTTCCATCTCTAGTATCGCTATATGAAATAAGGAGTAAAAACTGGCTAGCTATTGCTGCAAATCATTGCTATTGCTGCAAAGGAATCAAATTGAATGACATAGTTTTCTGTTTCATACATCTAGAAGACTTAACTATTATTAAGGTTTAATAAATAAATGATGTATACTTAATACAATATATAGATTGAACAATTTACTTATTTATCAATATACGTATGTATCAGAGTACAAATTTAGAGATTTTCTTAAAATTTTACTTATCGATTAGACAGGTAATGATGTTTACATTTGTCAATGTATGAAATATAAACGTAGAACAATATATCAATTTAACAATTAAACATAATTACCAAATTACATTTTTCGTTTAAGTTAAGCAATATTCAAATGATATAACCTGTAAATAAGCAATAATCTGTGCATTTATAAAAAATATGCTGGCATGTCAGTGATTCAATAAGCTTTTTTTTTCCTTCCAAAATAGTACTTAATTTCTCTATAAAACCAATTTAAAAATAAATTTTTTTAAAAATACATAAAATCTAATGCCAATCTTATTTGAGCATTTTATTAAAAAAAATCGGAATTTTTTATCTGAATTATCATTGGGGGCTTTGTTCATCAATACTGTGAAGCGTACAAAAAAAAATAGTCTATTTTGTCTATTCTTAACATTTTCTTTTGAATAAAATATATTTGCCACTTTTGAAAGTTGGAAAAAATTTAAAAATGAAAAAAAAATTCTCTATAATGACGATGAAGTTTGTGATTTAAAATCAACGAAGTTTATTTCTTTGAATAATTACCTATTCCGCAAAATTTGCAGCTCATGATGTCTTAGATAAATAATTTCTCGGCATGGTTAGCGTACAATTTTTTTTCAAATCTATTTTGAAGTTTCATAAAGAAAGTATTTTAGTCAGATATAAACAGTTTTTGAAAATTAAAAGTAGATATTTTAA